GGCGATGCGGGAGGATAACGAACCCAACGCTAATAAAACGGCTGAGGCTTTTCCGGATAAATGCACGAGAACGAGCTCCTCCTCCAGAAATTCCGTCAAGAACAGAAAGTTAGCAATAACAACAGTAGTGGGGTGAATACCACCAGCGCGAGCGGTGTGCAAAGCATGGTTAACCAACCTGGCGCGTATTATCCGCTTACCTTCCTGATGTCTTTTATGTTTTTCGCCGCGCAGATGCCTGTGAAGGAGCGTGGAGCTTCTAATGCAGCAACCGTCGCCCTCAATCTCGATGACGACAGCCTTTTATTCCATGGCAATGGCAATGATCCCTTTTATACCGCGGCGGGGGCGATTCATTGTTCGAAAAAGACTCCTACCATCAATACGGAGGACCCTATCGTGTTTCTACGCAACAGTGGCCCGGAGGAGCGATCCGCATCTCCAGCGTGGGGCACAGTTGTTTTCAAATAAAATGCTAGCTCTAGTGTAGAAATTTATTGATGCACTTTCCGAATCAAGTGCTTATTCACGCGCTGCGAAATCACCTTGTGTTGTTGGCACATATTCACGAGGAGTACGATAATAACGTCTTCCTTGGGTATAAAAAAAAACGAAAGGATTTGTCTTTCACAGAATCTCTTATGTGTGGATCACAATTTAACTTTGTACTTCTTTTTATGATGTTGATTTGTTCATTTCCTCTAGTGTACATTAAAAAGAAAAATAATACCCATCATTCATAGACACGGTACGGTATTTCCTTTCTTCCCATGTCGATGCGGATGGATAAAGCGCTCGCCGCGGAGTTGCTAAATTCCCCTTTGCAGTTCGTCCTCCTCGACATCGACGGCGTTGTATCCTCCGGCAATGATATCCTCCCGCGCATCCCGGAGACGCTCAAATACCTGCGCTTCCGCGGCAAGGCGATCCGCTTCATCTCGAACAACTCCTCCCACTCCCGCCGGGCGATTCACGAGGTCTTCCAGGCCCACGGCATCCGCGGCGTGGCGGCGGGGGAGATCCTCAACAGCGCCTACGCCGTGGCCCTGCGGCTCCGCCAGCTCCTCGGCGGCCCCGACGGCCTCGTCCGGGGGAACCTCTTCGTCATCGGCGAGGACGGCCTGCACGAGGAGCTGCGGGAGGTCCTCGCCCCGGGCTTCATCTCGTACGGCCTTGAGCTCCACGACCCCGAGCGCGTCGGCGGCCTCGACCCCGCCGCCCTCCGCGGGGCCTGGACGACCCCGGTCCTTCCCCCCCCCCAGCAGCCCCTGCGCCTCCTCCGGTCCAACCCAGGACCGGGGATGGGAAGGGAGAACAGGAGAAAAAGGAAAGATGACTCGGGGAAAGAGGAAGATGACTCGGGGGAGGTCGTGCAGGCGGGGTCGGCAAACGAGCGCTGGATCTCGCTCGCGGAGCTCAACGCGGTGGCGGTGGTGGTCGGGCTGGACTTCCACTTCAGCTCGCTGAAGCTCACGTACGCGGCGATCATCCTGCGCGGGCGCCCCTCCCCTAGCAAGGACAACACCTGTGAGGAAACGGAAGAGGAGGAGGAAGAGGAAGCGGAGGAAAACCCGCGGGCGTTGTTTATAGCTACAAACGAAGACCCGCAGGTTCCGATCGGCCTCCGGACAGTGTTCGTCCCGGGCGATGGCTGCCTTGTCCGAGCGGTCGCCACCGCCGCCGGCCGCGAGCCTGACGCGGTTTGCGGAAAACCCCAAATTGACCTCGCCATGGCCCTCTTCGCAAATGAAGATATTCACGATGTACGGACGTCTTGTTTGATGGTTGGGGACCGTTTGACGACAGACGTGGCCTTCGGGAACGCGATGGGGTGCCAGACGATGCTGGTGCTGAGCGGGGCTGAGGGCCTGCGTGATGTCGAAAAAGCAAAACGGGAACAGCGGAAGGATCTGATTCCGGATTACATCGCAGACTCCCTCGCGTGCTTTATTCCGTAGAGTGCATTCATCACTGAAGGAAATAAGTTAATATATATGCATATCACGGCGTATTGTCTATATAAACTAATTTTGTTACATACTCATTTGACAGAATGTCAAACGGTGGATGAAAATACCACTTTCTCTTGTTTATTTATGTATAACAATAAAGGTATATATATATATATATGTTCTTAATGTGTTTTTCTTTTTTAAAAAACGTGTTTATTTTTTAAAGAAAGCGTGTATTCAGACCTCTTGGTTTGTGTATATCCATCTACATCGTCTTGATTACTTTAGCTTTCAACACTTCAGTGTAGCTTGTGGAAAGAAAAAGGGTAGCCGGGTTCGTTAAATAACTCTAACCTATAAATAATATTAGTGCGTAATTTGCTGAATATGTACTATATCTGAATATATATATATATATATATATATATATATTATAATTTAACTATTACCATAAAAGCGAATGAGTTAACATTTATGGCCCTCTTTTCAATCATTTTCAATTTTCCTCTATACACTTTGCTTATAGACCTGTTTTACAAACCGTATATTGCAACCAAGCTTTAATATAATGACATCTTTAACAGTGTTAGACTATAACTCTATCCTTATAGGGGTTATCGCGATTGCGGGGCTCCCCACAGCGTGGAATATCATTGCTCGGAATGAATATCGCCACCACACCATTGAAAAGATTCTTAAAGGAAAGAAACGTGGTGCCTATCTGCTAGCTACCGCGATCTTTATCGCCTCTCTTCTACGAGATTTTGCCTTCAAGGCAGCTGTACAGGACAACCCAAGCTTGCTGATGTCCATGATTTCAGCATATTTTTCGGCAGATTTAACTATTTTACAAACTTTATTGCAGGTGCTAGGGATACTCCTACTTATTATCGGGAATATACTCGTTGTGAGCTCCTTTTGCCGTCTGGGGATTACTGGCACCTACCTCGGGGATTATTTTGGAATCAAGATGAAGAAACGCGTTACCGCTTTTCCTTTTAGTCATTTTGAAAGTCCCATGTATCTTGGATCCACCCTTAGCTTTCTGGGGACTGCCTTTTTATATCGCAGTGAAGTAGGCGTGTTGTTGGCTGTGTGGGTGGGGATCGTGTATTACGTGGCAACAGTGTATTTTGAGAGCCCCTTCACCGCTATGATTTACTCCGATAACAAGAAAGCATGAACTAAATTCTCAAGCATACGCATTCTATAAAGAATGATAGCTAATAGAGGTAGTCTTCTTTTCTAGTTGGAAATTATGGAGTTGATCCACTAACGATCTCAAAGTTTCTGCCATTGTTTACCCCCATAGTTTTCTTTAGCATTTGAAAGGAGGGAAAAGGTGAAGGTTCGACGGGAACGATCTCCACTACGGATATGCATCAGTATTATTCACCTATAAGGGATGGATAGATGTTAATTTTCAGAAAAAAATCGCACCCCTTTCCTCTTATTATATACATATGTATACGAAAACAAAAAAGTGCAACAAAACAACTAATCATTACCCTCCTTATAAATAAACAGAGACGATGTGAGAAGGATGGGGACAGACGAAATCAAGGCCTTTTTGAATCTCATTTCCTGCACTTTGGAGCTCTACTTTGGTAGGCCTCAAAGATCTCTAAAAAATCGTAGAAGCACCTGTGTAGGTGATGCCTGTGATGATTGGCGCATTGGTGACGGCGGCGGAGGCCTTCGTGGTGTTTTATACAGACGCGATCCCCTTCCACATGAAGTGAATAAATATCTTGGCAGCGGTATGTACGAGCCCCTCGTGCTGTCAGAGCATGATGCCTTCGGGAACTAGCATATGCTGCAATTTTACATTTCATCGTTTTATTCCCTCTGTGGGGGTGGGAAGGGTGTTTTATTTTCCCATCAATTGGCTTATGTAGATAATCGCCCCTTTCTGCTTTCCCCTAACGTGTCATTCTATGGCATCTGATCCGTTTACGCAGGTAGTGAAAGGGCCATCGCTAAGTAGTCTTTTTGCCTATTCTTCTTTAAGATAATTTACTGGGCTATAATCATGTTAATATAATGGTTGCCATTATTTTATTCCCGTTTCAGGGTATGCTATTGGCACCAAAACTGCGCTTGTGGTGGTTTCCACCGAAATGGGTGATCCGCAACCTCCCCAACGATGATCCATCCCTTTTGTTCCCTCACCGGGATTCCCCATCCTCTCTGTGTCTTAGTATTATTATTATTATTATCCTCA